CCTGGGACCCCCTGCCCTGGGACCCCCTGCCCTGGGTCCCCTGGCTCTGGGACCCCCTGCCCTGGGGACCCCCAGCTCTGGGACCCCCTTCCCTTTTTCCTGCTCTAGAACCCCCAGCTCTGGGACCCCCCAGCTCTGGGACCCCCTGCCCTGGAGACCCCCCTGTCCTGGGGACCCCCCCTGCCCTGGAGACCCCCCCTGTCCTGGGGACCCCCAGCTCTGGGACGCCCCCCTGCTCTAGAACCCCCCTGTCTTGGGGATCCCCCTACCCTGGGACCCCCGGCTCTGGGACCCCCGGCTCTGGGACCCCTTGCCCTTTTTCCTGCTCTGGAACCCCCCTGTCCTGGGGATCCCCCTACCCTGGGACCCCCTTCCCAGTGTGTGGGTGCAGTGACAGGACCCCCCCCATCTCTCCCCATCCCCTCTGGTGTGCTCCCCTTCACCCCGAGCGAGCTCCCGCTGCCGGAGGCTCCGCGTGCCCGGCTCTCCTGCCCCTCCAGCTGGATGGATATCTCCTGACTCTTGTTTATTTGTATAAATAGATGCTAATTTATGCTCCCGCCGTCTTCCTCCTTGTACATACAGAAATTCCTTGTAAATAGGCGTAGGAAGTGACGCTGTGCGCGTGACCTGCTGTGCTGTGGCCGTGGTGGTGCATTTATATATATATATATATATATTCTGATTTTTTTTTTCTTTTTTTTTTTTGGTTTTGTTTTCCTCTCTCAGTGTGGTAACCTTGCTTGTGAATATCACTTTTAAAAAAAAAACAAAAAAACAAAACAACAACAAAAAAACAACCAAACCACAAGAAAACTCTTATTATTTAAATAAGATTGAATAATTAATTGAGTCAGCGAGGCCGAGCCGACTGGAGCGAATCGGCCCCGGGTTGGGCTCGTGGGGGGCGAGCGGGGCTGGGAGCTCGGCTGGTTTGCTCCAGGGATTTGGGATCTCGTTTTCCTGTAGTTCTGTGCTTCTGTGGAGACTGTGAATAAGTGGATATTCCCGTAGCCATGACAGAGCTGCCCTTTATTTATTTTTCCCCGAGCGCTGTGTCTTTATTTTACAGATTTCCCCTCTATTTCTCCTCCCAACCATGATTCCATCTCCTCTCCCTCCACCTTTTCCCTCCTCCCCTCTCTCTTTTTTGTGAAGTTTACTTATGGAAGAGTTACACTGTACTGTACAAATGTCAAAAGTGTCAAAAAGAGTACAATTTCCTAAAAATCACTGTATTAAAAGAAATGTTGTGAAGAAATAAACCGATGCTGATCAGAAGTTCCGCGGGGTCCCTGAGTTGCCAGAGAGGAGCAAAATTAATCTGATTTTTTCTTTAATTATCATCCCCCAACTGGCTCCTGCTGCTGCAGAGGGAGGAGTTGAGTCCCCCCCGGGTGTGTGACAGCAGGGACCAGGGCAGAGCTTTAAGGCACAGCTTTAAAAATCAAGGGGAAAAAAAAAAAAAGAATATTCCCATTCAGGCAGTTTTCATTGAAAAAATGGGAATAATTCAGTTCTTGGGCTATGCAGGGAGCGTCCAGCTCGCCCAGGGCTGGGAGCAGAGGGATGTGATGGCCCAAACTCTGCCAAAATTTGGCTCCCCCTCCCTCCATCCCTCCTCCTCCCGAGCGCCGCAGAGCCGATGGGTGCAATCACATCCCTATTTATAGAGGATCCAGGTGGCTGCAGCCCCCGCCCGGAGCCGGGGGGAAAACGGGAGCTGAGGCAGCGAGGGGGGAGTGGAGTGATTTTATCCTGGAGCTGGAAGAGAAAAAGCAGGAGGGGAAGGAGTGAGGAGCTGCAGGAGTGGATCATGGAGTGGGTTTGGGTGGGAATGAGCTGAAATCCCATCCCTTGTCACCCCTGCCATGGGCAGGGACACTTTCACTGTGCCAGGCTGCTCCAGCCTGGCCTTGGGCACTTCCAAGGATCCAGGGACAGCCACAGCTCCTCTGGGAATTCCAGCCCAGCCCCTCGCCACCCTCACACGGAAGAATTCCTTCCCAATATCCACTTTGTGGGGATTTGGGTGGCTGGAAGGTGCTGGAGGAGCAGCAAGGGGCAGGTTTTCCCTGGAGAGGGAACAGATCCAGCCAGGACCCTTCCCAGGGGCTGCAGCAGCTCCTCCTCACCCCGGCTCCGCCAGCAAATCCCAGAAGAAAATCACTTTACAGGTTATCCTGCAACAAGAGATTGTTACAACCCCAACCCATGGCTGTAATTAGCAGATGAATTAATCAGGCAGCAGGCACGTGGGGGGGCTGGCTCTGGCCATCCCCTCCCTCGGCTGAGGGGATCCACAGTGGCCAGAAAATCCGTTTGGTGCAGGCAGGAACGGCCTCGTGCCCTCCCTACGCCCCGGCGCTGCGCTGGCTCTGCCGCGGCGGCTCCTGGAAAACGGGGACAGCGGGATGAGCCCGGCGCTCCCGCGGCCGCCGGGGCACACGGGGCTGAGGCTCACCCGGTGTTTGAGGTAGGACAGGTAGGTGTCCCAGCCCAGGGTCACCACGTTGACATAAACCACGCGGTACGTGGGAGGCAGGAAGAGGAAATTCAGGATCTGCGCCGCCGGCCACACGCACCAGTCAGCCTGGAAAGGAGCCAGGAGCAGCTGGGTGATTCCCAGCGGAGCCCAGCGGGGAAAAGGGGAGAGCCTGGGCAGGGGGTTACCTTGTAGAATTCCCAGAATTTCTCCTTCAGCTCGTCCCAGCTCTCCTGGAGAGTTTGGCCCTCCAGGGTGCCGATGGCTGCGGGGACAGGGGGGGTCGGTGGGAATAGGGGTGGGAATGGCCGGGAAATGCCCCAAACCCCTCCCAGGGCGGGCGGGGAGGGCAGAGCCGGCAGCAGCCAGAGCGAGGAAATGGAAAAGTGAAAGGGAAGGCAATGATCTGTCTGGGACACGAGGGAACGGCTGGAGCTGTGCCTTGGGTTTGGGATGGGGATCGGGGAAAAGTTCAGGAGGTTTGGGATGGGGATGAGGGAAAGGTTTGGGGGATCTGGGATGGAGATCAGGGAAAGGTTCAGGGGGTTTGGGATGGGGATCAGGGAAAGGTTCAGGGGATCTGGGATGGATTTCAGGGGATCTGGGATGGATTTCAGGGAAAGATTCTTCCTCCAGAGGGTGCTGGGCACTGAATTCCCCCAGGGAATGTTCCTGGCCTCAAGGCCTCCCATGGCTCCAGGAGCTCCCAGGGATTCCCAGGGCGGGATTTTGGGGTGTCTGTGCAGGAACAGGGCTGGGATCAGTGACCCCCGAGGGTCCCACATACCCAGGAAGTACCAGACTCCCATGCTGGGCGATGCCACCGTCTGGTCAATGAGCACTTTCTTCAGCACCGTCCTGAGGCAGCGCACGCCCCGGGCCGGGAACGCCGAGTCCAGCCAGAGGTACCAGTAATGCATCAGCGGCCCCAGGCTGCAGCCCACCACAAACATCCGCCCTGGAAACAACAGCCAGGCTCAGCACGGGGGCTGTGCGTGGACAGGGCAGGCTTAGAGGGGATTTGGGGAAGGAATTCCTCCCTGGGAGGGCGGGGTGGGGATGGAATTGTCAGAGCGGCTGTGGCCGCCCCTGGCAGTGCCCAAGGCCGGGCTGGACGGGGCTGGCAGCTCCTGGGCCAGCGGGAGGTGTCCAGCTCTGGCTGCCCCTGTGGCCGTGGGGCTGGGACAGCCCGTCCCAGCGCTCACCAGTGCGTCCCAGTTGGAGCTGGCTCTCGGGGCGCTTGCGGCGCTGCCATTCCTGCTGCAGGCAGTCCCCGGCTGCCAGGAGGCCCCCGCAGCTCAGGGTGTTGGTCAGGAGCAGCAGCCTCCCGGTGAACAGCGACTTCCAGGAGCGCAGGAGCATCCTGCGGGAACAGCGGGCTCAACGCCCCCTCCCCACACCCCCAGTCACTGCTGTGCCCCCCCAGTTCCCCCAGTTAGTGCCCTCCCAGTTCCCCTGCTCCCCTCCCAGCTGTCCCAGTTACCGCTGCCGGACCCTCCCAGTCCTGCTGTGCCCCCTCAGCCCCTCCCCGACCCCTCTGCCACCGCCCCAGTGCCCCCCCGTTATCTCTGCACCCCTCCACTCACCCCGCTGGGTCCCCAGCGCCCCTCCCAGGACACCAGCCCGCTTCCCGGTGCCTCCAGCTCCTCCCGGTTCCCCCCGTGTCCCCCCCGCCACTACCGGGCGTTACACGGGGAACAGGGCGTGTGTCACGTGACAACAACGACTTCCGCTTCCTGCCTCCGCCATGACACCTACCGAGGCACAGGGGGCCGCCATGACACCTACCGAGGCAGCAGCTCGTCCAGGGGCTTGCGGTGGGGCGAGATGGGGACGCTGCAGGGGATCCCCGCGGTGCCCCAGCCCTGTCCCGTCCCTGTCCCTTGGTTTTGGGGCAGCAGCGTGCCTGGGGAGCTGTTGTTGCCTGGGGATGGAGGTGGCCATGATGGATGTCAGCGGTGCTGGCACCACAGCTCTCCCCACTCTGCTGCTGCCACTGCGGTCTCGCAGGTGTGGGGATGCTGCTGAGACCCTCCAGGCTGCCCCAGAGCCTTGAGGATTCTTTGAGAAGCTTCTCTTTGGGAGCTTGAACATCAGTTCCGTGTCACCTTGCTTGTGGGGACGTTGCTGCTCCTCGTCCTGGGGGTTTGTCATCCCAAGGACGTGGTGTGGGAACTGAGGGCTCTTTCTCAGCCATGTGGGGCAGCTCTGGCTGTGAACTGGAGGCAGAGATCCCCTCACTAACGGGGTGTTTATCTGCCAGGACCCGTGTGGGGCAGGAAGGCAAAAAACTCACCGGTTTGTAAAAACAACAGCTTTATTCCGAGTGCCAGCGCAGCCGAGGAGCTCTGCTCCCGCTCACGGCCCCTCCCGACGCTGCAGGACAGGGCCTGGCCAGCCCTATCTGTAGGAATTGGCCTTGTGTTTCGGCAGGAAGGTGAAGCTGGGCGGGACAGGGCCCAGGAGCAGCTCACTGGGAGAAAGAATCAATTATAGAATTAATCCAGAGACCTTAAAGCTCACCCAGTGCCACCCCTGCCGTGGCCAGGGACACCTCCCGCTATCCCAGGTTGCTCCAAGCCCTGTCCAGCCTGGCCTTGGGCACTTCCAGGGAGGAAAGACAACAAAACCAAACCCAAGGAAGGGACAGTGTTCAGTCTCACACGACCCTGGGGCTCTGCCACATCCCTTTTTAGCCATTTAAATGAAATTTGATGCCTCATTACCTTATTTTGATCCAATCATCCACGTTTTGGCTGGCCATGAGGGTCTCCAGGTAGTCCCTCCCCAGGTAATAGGGCGGTCGCTCGTTGATTCTTTGAGGTAGATACTCCAGTAATCCAACTGGAATGTACCTGGAATAAAATGAAATGAGCAGTGAGCGCTAGGGAGTCATTAATTATTGTTTAAAGATCCTCCTGGCTGGGCAGCACTACCTGCACAGGAAGGAGAGCCATTCCAGCAGGAATTTCCTGGTTTTCTCCACTCCCTGAGTGTCTGACCCCCAGTGCTCGAGGCCGTAGTTGGTGAAGTCCTTGAGGATGTCAAATCTCTCGCTGGAGGAGATATCCCAGTGTCTCTGCTCCTTGATTTCCGTGAAAAGCCAGGGTTTGATGAGTGCCCCTCTGCAGTCAAAAGAGAAAAAAAAGGGATTGTTATTCCCATCACTGATGCTCCTGAAGATTGGAGACACATTCCAGCATTAATTCCCCAGCCAATTCTGCTTTAAATCTTTTCCATTCCAGCAAGAAGCTCCAACTGATATAAATTGATTTTACCAATCTTCAGAGTGCTTTCACCGAGAGGAAATTCTATGTTTTGGGTTTGTTTCGGGATTTTTTTAAACCCTTTTTTATTTTTTCCTCTTGAACCACCAGAGCTCAGGAGTGAAGGGAAACACAGGCACTTGCCTTGCAATCATGATTCCAGAAACTCCCATCTGCATGGCTCGATTTGCATCTTCGTAGGACAAAATATCCCCGTTTCCTGCCCGGAAAGGAGGGAGAAGCCAGAGGTCAAAGTGATCCGTGAGGACAAGTCAAAGTGAGCTAATCCAGGCATGGGATAAAATTCAAAATGGACACAATGTTCAAGGCAGCCAGATGGTCCAAAGAGGCTCCTGGTTTGGATTCCCAGGGATGTTTCTGATGGATGTTCCCTTACAAGGAAAAAAGGAGCCTTCTCCTCTCTTCTCCTTCACTCTCAGCTCGTTTCCCTGAAGGTTTAGGGATTTTGTGCCACAGGGGCAAGAAAACACCTTTAAAACCCAAGTGATTCTCATCCCAGCAGCACCAGGGATGCTCCAACCTTTTCCCCACGCTAAGCATCCTTGGGAACGTGGGTTTTTTTGCCCATTTTTGCAGGAATTTGAAGTGAAGCGAGTGCCAGAGGAAGGCCCACGTACCGAAGAGAGGCATGGGGCTGGCGATGCGGGCGCACTCGGCGATGTATTCCCAGTCTGCGCTGCGGGTGTACCTCTGCTCCCGGGATCGCCCGTGCAGCTGTGGAGAGATCCAGGGACACCCCGCTGGACAGGGGGCACTGACACCCCGATGGGGAAGGCAACCTTGGGATTGGCCTCGGGATCGACCTCGGGATCGCCCTAGGGATCAATGGGTGCTGATGGAGCGGGGTGAGCAGAGCTCCCTTGGGATCTGCCTCTGGATTTACCTCTGGATTTATAGCCAGCGGTGCTGACAGTGGGCTGAGGAAGAGCTGAGCAGAGCTGAAAGGGCTGGAGGCTTTTGGGGTGATGTTTGGGCTGTCTGTGAGCCAGAGCAAGAAGTGGCTCTCTCCAGGGGAGGCACTGTGGGCCGGAACTAATCCCCACACAAAGAGCTGATCCCACATTCCCCAATCCTGACTAGGGGAAACTTCTGCTCCAGAGCATTGCAGGAACCATCTGTGGCTCCCCCAGCCCTGGAAGTGTCCAAGGCCAGGCTGGGCAGTGCTTGGAGCACCCTGGGGTAGTGGAAAGTGTCCCTGCCCATGGCAGGGGGTGGGATGGGATCAGCTTTAAGGTCCCTTCCCAAACCATTCTGGGATCCATGGACTCAAAAGCAGGTAGGAAAACACTCTCTGCACCTGAATTTTCCTCTTTTATTAGCAAAGGACACTAAAATGCAGGGGAATGTCATCCCCATCTGATCCCCAGGCAGAATTCCCCAGCCACCAACCCCACACATCTGTCCCCGTACCGTGACCATGGAGGCTCCCCACTCCCGGATCCTGGGGATGATTTTGTGAGCCACGTTAACCTTTTCCTGCACCCCAGTCCGGATCTTCACCGTCAGTGGCACATCCAGCACCTGCAGAGGTGGGAAGATGAGGCCAGGCCAGGCTGGGCACCACCAGCTCAGCTCCAGGTGATCCAACTCACCGAGTTCATCCCGCGGACGATCTGCTCGAACTTGTTGGAGCGAGTCATCAGAGCACAGCCTCCTCCCTGAGGGACAAAACGTGGCACACTCAGGACTCTCCTCAATGGTGGAGTCCTTGGAGCTGCTCAGGTAAGGCTTGGAGCATCTCAAAGTTTGGAGAAAGTGGATGCTTCAACCAAAAAAACTGCAGAGCGCTTTTCCCTCCCAAATCCTGCCAGGCAGACACGGCCACTCCCTGCTCCTTCAGCAGCTTGTTCCCCTTCTCATGGAGATCTACTGCCCATGAACGAACTGGGAGCTCTGGATCAGACTGGAAAGGGCAATCAGGCAGCAGGGGATGAGGGAGAAGACAAGGATTCACAGAAGGAAAACGCACCACAGAACTTCTCACCTTCTTGTAGACCAGGTCAATGGGACACCCGACATTGATGTCAACAAAATCCACATCGATTGTCCTGTTCAGGAGCTCTGCACACTTGGTCATGGTGTCTGGAAAGGCTCCCTCCAGCTGCCAAAGGGAAACAGCTTCCCTGAGTTCCAGAGGCAGCTTTTCCCCTGGGAAATGAGTTATTGGTGGGTTCTGGGGTGACAACCCTCACCTGCACCCCGAAGATGTCCTCGGTGTGGTGGCGCTTGAGCAGAGCCCACTCGGAGGACTGGCCCTGCAGCAGGTTGGTGCACACAGCCATCTCCCCACAGGTGACATCGGCTCCAAAACGTTTGCAGATCCGGCGGAAAGGGAGGTTTCCACACTGCCAGGGACAGCAGGGACTGTCAGGAGATCTGCTCTGCTCCAACCGTGCCCAGGGTGAACTTTGGCACAAGGATGGAGTCATCAACCTACCGTGGTCAGTGGAGCCAGGTAGAGCTTTCCTTGGATTTCCAGCTGGAAAACAGGGATGGAGGAGCAGGTTAGAAGAGCTGCAATGGTTTTTATGGAATCACAAAATGATTTGGCGTGGAAAAGACCTTAAGGATCACCCAATTCCATGCCCCAGCCACGGGCAGCGACACCTTCCGCTATCCCAGGGTGCCTCAAGCCCTGCCCAGCCCAGCCTTGGACACTTCCAGGGATGAGGCAGCCACAGCTTTTCTGGGAATTCCATCCCAGCCTCTCCCCACCCTCACAGGCAGGAATTCCTTCCACATGCAAGAAATGCTCTGCCTGTCTCCTCCAACTAAAGGGGTTTCTCTTCCATCTTTCCATGAACAATCTCCACCACGGAATCGGGACACAAGGGACTCTCACCTTCTTCTTCTCACACGGCCGCAGCTTCGTGATGTCCTCATCTGTCAGAGGGCCCAGGGTTGGGATGGAGGGAGCACCCTCAGCCCCTCGGGAGTTCTGCAGGGCCTCTGGTTCAGGAGCACCCTCAGCCCCTCGGGAGCCCTCCAGGTCTCCTGGTTTGGGATCTTCTCCCTGCTCCTGCAGCACAGGGCTGTCTCCCAGGCCCTCCTGGGGTGCAGTGCAGTTGGACACCTCTGTGGAGCCCCCTCTGGCTTTGCCTCCCTTCCCACCGTGGAGCCCACGGAGAAACTCCTCGGCTTTCCGGAAGGTGAATTTCCTCTTGCGCAGCTGCTGCTGGAGCTCCTTGGAGAGGCCGTTCCTCACCAGCAGCTTCCCTTCCCACTGCTGGGCCAGGGCGGCGTTGACCAGGTTCTGGTGGCCGTCCCCGAGGTGGGCCTGGCCGAAGCGACAGGTGACACCGTAGGGACAGCGGCCGAAGGTGTCGAAGAGGACGCAGCGCTGGCCCAGGTCCGCCGGTTTCGCCGCCAGGTACTCGGACACGTCGTGGAGGAAGCGGCAGCGCGGCCCAAAGTGGCACTGCCCGCCACAGCCCTGGGGACAACACGGAGCAGGGGAAGGTGGGGATGGAGCAGCACGGCCCAGAACTGCTCTGAGCACCTGAGACCCCTCAGGTGAGGGTGGGAACGCTCCCAGGGATGTGCTGCAGGATAGACACACTTCAGGGAAGGTGATGCTTCACTTGTGACACTCAGCTCATCGCGTGTCACCCTCTCCCAGCTGGTTTTATGGAATTCCAGACCGGTTTGGGTAAAGGACCACAAATCCCATCCAGTCCCACCTGCAGGGATGCCTTCCACTGTCCCAGGCTGCTCCAAACCCTGTCCAGCTTGGCCTTGGACACTTCCAGGGATCGAGGGGCAGCCACAGCTGCTCTGAGCACCCTGTGCCAGGGTCTCACCACCCTCACAGGGAGAAATTCCTTCCCAAAACCCCACCTAAGCCAGCCAGAGCAGGGCCCTGTGTCCCACCTGTGTCACCGAGGGGCACAGCCTGCTCTGCTCGTAGCAGTTGGGTTTCATGCACGGGCGGCTCTTGTTCTGCCCCCGGGCTCTCTTCTTCTCCGGGCGCTCCTTCTCCTCCTCCCCAGCCTTCCCTTGGCTTTCCCCATCCTGGCCGAGCTCCTCTGCCTTCACTCTCTTGGCTGGGGGTTCACTCTGGGCGCTGCTGACCTGCTCCTCTTCCTTCTCCTCCTTTTCCTCCTCCTCCTCCTCGCCCCCTGCCCGCAGGTAGGCGTGGAACTGCTCCTTGGAGGTGAGGAACCTGCGGGGAAAGGGGTGTCCGTGGAAAAGGGGGTCGTGAGGGGAGGGGGGTCGTGAGGGAAGGGGGGTCATGAGGGCCTGGGGGGGCACCGGGGGTAGGGGGGCTGGCCAGGGACTGGGGGCGTATGGAGAGGTCGGGAATGTACCGGGAGGGTTATGAAGGGACGGATCCCGTTCTGAGGGGGTTACAGAGGGGTCGGGCAGCGCCGAGGCCGCGATCCCGCACTCACCGGGCTCGAACCGGCGCCACGCCGGGCGCCGCCGCCGCTGCCATGCTGCCGCGCGCGGCGATGACGTCAGCGACGGGGCGGGACCACGTGACCGGGCGCATATAAAAAGGCCCGGCTGAGGCGCGGCCCCCTCACGGCGGCCGGAGCTGCGGCCGAGCACAGTGCGTTGTGTTAGAGAGTTTGTACATTCTCCCAGAACTGCCCACAGCCCCTCATGCTATCAGGGTTGCCCAAGCAGGGAGAGAAGGCCGTTGTGCAGCCCTTGTACCCCGGGGAGAGGTGTCGCTCCTTGTAGCAGCTCCTTAAGGCTTCTCTTTGGGGACAGTTGGGTGTGAGGGAGGTCACTGCTGCTGGCCCCTGAGGGTGGCCATGGCCGCAAGGCCCCCTGAGATCACTGAGTTCATCTTACAAATGAGCAGCATCATGTCAGCCACACACACAAAGTGCCACCTTGTCTTTCCTTCAACAATTTCCTGATTTTGGGGGTGTCTCGCTCTCCCGCCTCCTCACAGCTATCAGGGGGGACGATGGAGCTCTACAGAGATGTGGGACACTTGCTACGTTTTTTTGTAATTTTAGGGTTGTTTTCAAGCAGTAAATGCAAGGACTGGCTGCACAGTGCTGAAGGGATGAACCAGCTCTCGCTCATGAGCTGCCTGGAGCCTTCCAGCCGCCCTCGCCTTCGGTCTGTGGGTGGAAGTTTGGGCTGAAAACCAAATAAACCAAATAAACACGTCAAGTGTGGTGTGTTTGACCTTTTCTCCCTCCCCTGTAGCTGCCACGTCTTTGCTGTGTCCGTGCCACTCTTTACACCCTCTCCTTGGTGCACATCCCCTTGGTGATCCTCCGAGCCTGACGTGTGTGAGAGGGGGCTGATGTCTCATGGGTGACGTCTTTGGAGCCCTCCTGGACGACGTTTCCTTTCCAGCTCCGTCATCTCCACAGCTCCCTTTGACTCACGCTTGGCCTGCAATGCTGAGAGGCCGAGAAAAGGCTGCAAAATGCAAGTGAAGCAAAACCTGGGCTCCATCTTTGCTGTCCCATGCCCTGCGCTGAATCCAAGGAGCTTTTTTTATTTTAGGTGGGTTAAAACTGTCCATGAGGCTGCTCCACGGAGGAGACACTTAACTCGTGGTTTTTGTCCTAATTTAGGAGCTGCTGGAACGCCTGGAAGAGTGACCGCTTGTGATGTTGGGGAATTACCACGGTGTTGAGATTGTTTATGGGCACTGCAGAGTTGTGTGTGCACGTGGGGCTCGAGTTCTGGAGTTTTCCTGTTTTAGCTCAGTTCTTTCCAGATGCTCCATCAAAAATGGCTTTTGGGAGGAGCTGGGAGCCCGGTGGGTGCTCCTGCTGCTGCCAGGGGTGGGCAGGTTGCACCACGGGGCCAGGCTGCTGTGGGAAGAGCTTTGGGCTGATGGGGTGTTAATTAGTTCTGGAGTGAAATATGAGGAATGCAAAATACTATTTTAAGCTTCAGCTTGGCCGGGGGAAGGAAGGAAAGAAGGAAATGAGGCTCTGGGGATTAATGAAGTGATTTCACTGCTGTTTTTGTGGGGCAATAAGCCTGAAGTCAGAGCGCTTGGGGCTGGCTGCACCCGGCTGAGGTCAGACTTCAGCATCTAATCCCTGCTCAGGGCTCTGGCTCGGCAGCTTTACGAGGCTGAGCTTTGGATGAGCTTCCCAACAAAGCCTTTCCCAGGTTGGACAGGGCTTGCAGCAACCTGGTCTAGCGGAAGATGTCCTTGGCCATTCAGGGGTGGGAATGGGTGAGCTCTGAGGTCTCTTCCAACCCAAACCATTCCATGACTCTCTGCTAGGTTTGGAGAGGTGCTGGCTCTCGTCTCCTTCATCTTTTCACCCCTTCAGGTCATGCTGAGGTTGGAAGAGGAGCCAGGGGAAGGAGGAGCTGGATAAATGTAGGGTGAATACAGGGCTTGGAAGGCCAGAGCTGTCACTCCCACATCCTCCGGCAGCTCCGGAGAAAACCAATACCCACGAGCTCACTGGGAAAGGCCAAGGCAGGAAAAAGGGAAAGGTTGATTACAGGAAAGTGGGATAGAGATACAGGGAGAGCTAAGTCAGGAAAAGTTCAGCTCCTTCAAGGTCCAAGTTAAACACATATTAACGAACCTGCCCCTTCCACAGGCTCCCACACAAAAGTCGGATGTGTCAGGCCCTGGGGTCTGGCTACCACGCCAGGAATTAGCCAAAAAATGAGGCTCTGTAGCAACCCCAAGAGTAGCTGCTGTGGGGAGAGAGAGATTCAGGCTGGGTCACACTCGTCTGGAGCTGTGCTGAATGTTGTGACAAGCTCTGCTGGATCCTGGTGCCAGCGGGGTGAACGTCCCAGGTGTGGGGTTGGGTGTGTGGGAAGGTGGCTGGAGCTGGGAGGGAACCTCCGGGTCCTGTCTTCTGCTCAAACCAAATCCATTCCTCATGTGTTGTCTCCCCTTTTATCCGGTCTCGTTTCAGCAGCACAGCTTCCAGCCTTCTGCAAAGGAGAATATTCCCATTGCTCATAAATCTCCTATCAGGAAGCTGTTTCCAAGATTAAAGCTTTAAATGTTTCCCCTCTCTGGTTTCACGTCCCAGCTCCCAATTCCCTCCCTGCCGTAATCACCAGCTCCAGCCCCTCCATCTGGACACGCCGGGGTCTCTGTGCCTCACACTCTCTCTGCTCCAAGAAAACCTGTGCTGGGACAGTTTGGAATTGGGGTGTGCACCTCCAGGCTCTGTGTCATGGAGTTTGGAAAGCTCTTCCTGCTGCAGGTCCCTCCTGGCTGGTTGAAGAGCTGACTTAGCGTTTGGAGGAGCTAAAGGTCATTATCTGGGCAAGGCCCGTGGATTTGGGATGAGCTCTCGGCAGGCTGGAGCTCAGCGCCTGCTGTGGATATCGGATCACCGGCAGTGCTCATTCCCAGAGCTGGGATAATTATCCGTGGTGACGACGCCTCGGCTTGGCGGCGTGGCCGTGGTGTGTGGGCAGGGAAAGGCACGGAGCAGGGAAAGGCACGGGACATCTGGGCTCACGTGGGAGTGCTCTGGGATCCCGGAGCTGTGGCACTCAGCCCTTGGTTGGGAAAGCTTGGAGGAGACCCCAGACCTTTTCATCACACCCTAAAATTAGAGGCAACCCAAGGCCCCAGTCCTGGGAGACGCAGATTCCTTGGCAGAGGCTGCTGTGCTGATGGAAGAGGCAGGATGTGGCTTTTCCCAGTGCCCTGGCCATGGGAGCAGGGGGAAAGTCCCAACTCTCCATTCTGGTGGCTCTGGGGGGCATCTCTCATCAACTTTTGTCCTTCTCAGCCTTCATCACCCTCAACCCTGCTGTTCCCAGGGCTGTTTTGGGGCACTTCCTTGGGTGGCTCCCAAAAGGAGCCTTCTCTTCTGGCTTCTGCTCTCACCTGAGGTCACCCCGTCCCCTTTCCGTGCCTAATCCCTCGTGGCTCAGCCTGTTGGGAATTAGGGGAGTTGAGAATCTGGACAGGAAAGGTGCTTGCCTTCAACCCTTTATCTGGCCTCTTCTAATGCCCTGTGTGCCACCAGATAAAACCTTGTGTACGGTTTTAATTTTTATTTTTACACGAGAAAGCAACACAGAAATTTCCTCCTGACATTTAATTCAGTCAGTCAGTGACAAACCGAATAAACATTCCTGTTTCGCTGGGACAAAGGCTCCAAGATCCTGCTGGGACTAAAATGTTTCATCATTTCCGAAGTAAAATGTTTCAGTTTTTTTTAAATAAAAATAAGAACAACAACTAAAAATGACACGTTTCAATGTTTTTCTAATTATTTTCTCCACTTTGGCTGGATCTATTTGTCAAATCTGGCCTGGCTTCTCAAGTAGCTTTGGAACCATCCAAAACTGCTATTTTGGGCACTTTTCCTGTTATTGATGAATAAGTTTAATCCCTGTCCTGCGTTCCTGTTCATTCCAGGTGTTTTCTGGGGTGTGGATGGAGCTTTGGTGTCACCCTTTTAGTGCCATGGGCAGGGACACCTCCCACCATCCCAGGTGGCTCCAGCCTGACCTTGGACACTTCCAGGGATCCAGGGGCAGCCACAGCTTCACTGGGAATTCTATTCCAGGGCCTCCCAAACCCTCCCAGCCAGGAATTCCGTCCCAAAATCCCATCCATCCCTGCCCTCTGCCAGTGGGAAGCCATTCCCTGTGTCCTGTCCCTCCATCACTTGTCCCAAGTCTCTCTCCACATTCCTTGTGGCTCCTTCAAGCACTGGAAAATCACAATTAGGTGACCCTGGAGCTTTTCCAGGCTGGACAATCCAAATTTTCCCAGTTTTTCCTTCCAGAAGAGCTGTTCCATCCCTCTGATCATCCTGCTGCCTCCTCTGGGCTCTTTCCAGCTGCTCCACGTCCTCCCTGTGCTGGGCCAGCTCTGCAGGTGGGGTCTCACCTGAGCAGAACCACTGGAAATAAACCTCCCCACATTTTAATTTAGCTCTGAAAAAAAAAGAAACCTCGGTGCTATTTTTGTCCAGAGCCCTCCCTAACACCGGATTTTTGCAGACTAAGGGTGGATGGCTTTTTTCTTCCTCCTCCTGACTAAGAGGTGGAGAGGACTGATGCAATGTCATCTAAACTTGGAGCAGCCCGTGCTGCAGCAGCTGAGGAGGCTTTGCAAAACCAGAACCATCCCCAGATTTTCCTTGGATGAGGCTGGGCCAGTTTTCCATCCTGTCTTTGTTCTGGAAGACTCAACCCTTGCCTTAAAAATGGATCTGGAGGATTTTCCCTTCCCTGCCTTGAGAGAGAGAGACACTCCTGGGGCTGTGACCTTGCTGGTGGGGTGTGCCCCCCTTTTCCTTAGGGATTCGTGTCCAGGTGGTTTAATTTGTGGAGCTGGGCCACTCCAGGCTGCTCCCGGTGCCCCAGGGGATTGTGCTGTGCACTGACCTGCATTCAGCAGCGCTGCAGAGCATCAGCTCGGCCAGGATCTGGAACTTCAAGCCAAACTCAGCCCTCTGGTGACAAAAAGGCAGCTGTCCCTCTCCTGTGGACGTGGTTCTGTGCAAATCAGT